AAAATAGCATATTACCTCCTCACCAGTGACTCCTTTCACTGAGGTATGACGGCTGGAAGGAAGGCCAGGACTGAAAAGAAGGACCGAGAGACTTGCACCTGTGTCTAGCAGCAGGCTGTTTTCTTGTTTCTCCATAGTCATGATTACCAGGTCACCCCTTTTGGAAAGAGTGTTAGGCCCCTGGAGGCTGGATACGGGTTTAGCCTCTGTATGATTCCTGTCTCCCTCAGTGGGCAGACAAGTGAGTTAGAGGAGTAGGGGGAGTGGCCAGTGTCACCTTTCTCTAGGCGCATCCCTTATGGGGGACATCCGAGGACAGTGTCTTTTTTTTTTGAGACAGGGTCTCGCTATGTAGTTGAGGCTATCCTTGAACTCACTGTGTAGCCCTGACTGGGCATGAACTCAACGGCGATCCTCCTACCTCAGCTTCCTGAGTGCTGAGATTACAGGCATTACAGGCTACCACACCCAGCCTGAGGATGGTGTCTTGCTCCCTTGAGTACCCTGGCTACAGGACTGCCGTCTCTCCTTCTCTCCCTCTCTCCCTCTGTCCCTCTCTCCCTCTCTCCCTCTCTGTCTCTCTGTCTCTCTCTCTGTCTCGGTTTTGGAGTTGAGGCTGGGATGTCCCTAGTGAGGTGGGTACAGGGTGCCCTTGGCTCTGGGCCATGTTGCTGTTTACCCTTTCTCTGAGAATACTTTAAAAAGCTGTATACATTATACATTGTACCATAGTATGTCCTGACTTAGAAAGGAGTTCTATTCCAGGAGAATGTTTGTAAGTCGGATTTATTTGTAAGTCCTACAGAGTGAGTCGTAAACGGCTTTGACACGAACAGACAAGGTGTATTGCTTTGCGTTGCTCAGCAGTCCCCTCCACATCACCACTGCTTTTCCTCCTGCTTCTGGACCTCCTGGCCCCGACTGAGCGCTGTACTGCTTGCTGTACACTATATTACATACGTTGTGCAGTAAGCACACAGCGGCACAGCTGTGACGGTGTCTGGCAGACATGTGAGCTACTTCTGGAATTTGCTTCCACGCCTGTGTGTAGCTGTGAAGCGTTGCCACCTGAATGTTCACGAGCAGGCAACTCACTGTACCATAGAAAAGAAAAGAAGTCCAGCTTCACTCTGTTTTGTGTCCGCTTCCTCCTTGCTAGGCCTGGGAAGTGAACAAAGGGACCAACTGCGTAACCTCCTTCCTGGCTGACTGTGAGACCCAGCTGCGCCAGGCCCCACGCCAAGGCCTGCTCTACGGCGTCCCTGTGAGCCTCAAGGAGTGCTTCAGCTACAAGGTGCTCCCTTCCCTGGTGTCAGGCTCCTCTTGCCCTCCACCCCTGCAGCCAGCTCTGTGTCCTGGGCCGCGTAGGTCCTGCAGGAGAGGTGTGAGGTCCAAAAGTCTTGAGAAGGGACCACAGGTGTGCCTGGCCTCGGCCGGTGTGGCAGTGGTGGGAGTGGACCCCTCCTGACTCACCTGCCATGTTTTCCCACCGCCGTCCTCCTCTTAGGGCCAGAACTCGACGCTGGGCTTGAGCCTGCATGAGGGGGCGCCAGCCGAGGTGGACAGCGTGGTAGTGCAGGTGCTGAAGTTGCAGGGCGCCGTGCCCTTTGTGCACACCAACGTGCCCCAGTCCATGTTCAGGTTGAGTCTCAGCCGGCTGGGGTGGAATGGTTGGGACATAGGTGCCAACGCGACCCTGGCTGAGCCGCTCCTGTTCCTCCAGCTATGACTGCAGTAACCCCCTCTTCGGGCAGACCATGAACCCGTGGAAGTCCTCGAAGAGCCCGGGTGGCTCCTCAGGGGGCGAGGGGGCCCTCATTGGGTCTGGAGGCTCCCCCCTGGGCTTGGGCACCGACATTGGCGGCAGCATCCGTTTCCCTTCTGCCTTCTGTGGCGTCTGCGGCCTCAAGCCTACTGGGAACCGCCTCAGGTACGGTGGGAACTTCTGGGCCCCTTGTGGTGGATGGAGGCCTCGCTTCCACCCTCTCTGGGCTCCAGCAGGGATTCAGTCAGCAGGGGGTCACTGGGCGGAGGTGTTACTCCGCCAGCCGTGCGGGGCTCCCAGGTTCCAGTGGTGGGCGTCCTGAGATGCGGCGGGACCTCTGGGGTGGGCAGCGTAGCTGTTTCCCGTTTCCAACACCTTGTGTTTCTTACCCAGCAAGAGTGGCCTGAAGGGCTGTATCCATGGACAGCTGGCAGGTGAGGTTTGCGGTTCTCTCGGTGCCCTGAGAGGGTGGAGGTCAGCCTGGTCTGCCTCTGCCTCTGCCTCTGATGCTCTGGGGGGCAGGGTCTGGCCACTAGGCCACTCTAGGTCTGAGCTCCGACCTCCTTGCCTTGTTCACACTCCTGGGCCATGGCCCAGCCCGACTCCAACCCAGCCCCAGAGCCCGCTGGGCACAGGTGACCCTGCTCCCCTCCTCTCCCTGCCCCTCAGTGCAGCTCTCCGTTGGCCCCATTGCCCGGGACGTGGAGAGCCTGGCACTGTGTCTGCGAGCGCTTCTGTGTGAGGACATGTTTCGCCTGGACCCCACCGTGCCACCCCTGCCCTTCCGGGAGGAGGTGAGTGGGGAATGGGTGGGCAAGGGGCTGTGCGGGCCTCCGGAACCAGGGGTTGTGGGCACGAGGGGCCCCCTGGATCTGAGACCAAGGACAGCTGCTGCTTCTCAGATGGCCATTAGGTGGCGCCCTTGGACGCATTTGGAAACCCTCAGGCTTTCCAGCTGGAGGACTCTGGTACCTGGTCTGTATTTGACCTTTAGTAAACAGCAGTTTGGCCTGTGGTATTCCTGTCTGTATCCCCACAGTGTACTGAGCCATAGGGAACTGTGCTAGATCCCCAGAGTACCACCCAGATAGCCAGTGATCAGAGCTGAGCTCACTGCTTCCTGAGGTGGCCTCTCCCTCCCTAGAGCCTCCCAGCGTCTCAGAGGGCAGGGATGGTGTGGGGTGTATCCTTCAACGTGGGGCTGGATGAGACCAGACAAGGTCAGGACCTAATAGTTCAGGGCTGGGGCCGCAGCCAGCTGAAGATCTTGAGGTGACAGGGTCAGAGTCCTGGGGTATAAATGTCATTTGATGGTTTCTATTGAAGAATTGGTAAAGACTGTTCAAGAATAATATGGAGGAGATAGCCCAGTAGCATAGTGCCTGCCTGGCAAGTGCAAGGTCCTGAGTTCAATTTCCGGTACAAAAAAAAAAAAAAAGGATACACACGGGCTAGGTGTGGTGGCGCATGGCTGTAATCCCAACATGTGGGAGGCTGAGGCAGGAGGATTGTTGTGAGTTCTAGACCAGCCTGGGCTATATAAGTGAGTTCAAGGCCAGCCTGGGCTACAAAGTGAGACCTTTAAAAAAAAAAAGTGCGTACTTATGTACAGAGGGTTCGGGAGTTGTGAGATGGATACAGACTTCATGTCAATGTGGACATGAGTTGGCTGGTGTGAGCTCCATTTTTCAGTAGTCTGGTGTTCCCCTCTCCTGTGCGGGCCTCCTATCCTCACCCCAACCAGGCTGAGGGGCTGTGGGCAGGAGGGTAGTGGGCTGTGATATTCCTTGGGATGGGGCAGGTGGGCAGGTCTGGGCAGGGTAGGGTCTTGTTGCTCAGTCCACAGACTCAGACTATTGCAGCCTGAACCCTTCCTGAGGGGGCGGAGCGGGAGAGAGGAGGCCCTGCCTGGAGGTCTGGGAGCCGGGGGAGGTGATAGAGAGGCACAGCCTGGGAGTCAGGATGCCTGGGGCCACTGGGTGGCCTTGGGCTAGTCCCAGCCCCACTCTCTGGACCCCAAGCCTCAGCTTCCTCATATGACCAGTGGGAATTTTCATCTCTGCCCTGCATTATGCAGGTGTTTTGGGACAGGGTCGCATGTGGAAGGGGCTGGCTTGGCACTTGATCTCTTTCCATTGTGAGTAGTACCAAAGAGGACTGGGCTGCAGCTGAGTAGCTTCTGTCATCTTTGGGAGCTGTGCCTAGGCCTTTCCCTCCTAAACCTCCTCTCCTGCCCTGCCCCTGCCCCCTGTGTTTGTCCCCAGGTCTACGCAAGCTCCAAGCCCCTGCGTGTGGGATACTATGAGACTGACAACTATACCAGGCCCAGCCCGGCCATGAAGCGGGCCCTGCTGGAGACCAAGCAGAGGCTTGAAGCGGCTGGCCACACGGTAGGGCTGCAGCGTCCTGGAGTCCTGGCATGTCCTCCCCTCCAGGGGACGCTCCTGGTGCCTGTGGCGACTCCCTCCCAGGCTCTCTGGCTCTGATTGTTTTGTCCTTGGTGATGAGAACTGTGGCCCTGGGGGACCAGTATACAGAGGCTGACACAGAGGCTGGGGCCGGCGGGGGATGGAGAACTCAGCACGTGCTGCATAGTGCGTTGTGGGGGCACCGCATCAGCTGGGAACGACCCAGTTGAGGTCCTGTCCCCTGACATAGTGGGCCAGTGGTTTGGTCTGCTCACCTGAGACAACCTTATATGTCATTGCTCCAGACCTCTCTCACGGGGGCCATTTTACAGGGTGTTCTCGTGGTCAGTGAGGCAGGCTTTGTGGCCCTTGGGAGGATAACCGCGTGGGCCAGGCGGTCCGGCTCCTCCTGGGGCTGCCGGGCGGCATGGGGGCTGCAGGAACAGGCGTGGTAAGGCAGGTCCTTGTACCCCCCCATCCCCGCAGCTTGTCCCCTTCCTGCCAAGCAACGTACCCTATGCCCTGGAGACCCTGGCTGCAGGCGGGCTGTTCAGCGACGGTGGCCACAGCTTCCTCCAGAACTTGTGAGTGCTCTCGAGCTTCGCTCTGTGGCGGGATCAGGAAGATGAATGGACCCAGGGAGGGCAGCTGGGTCTTGTGACCACCAGGGTAGGCTCAGTCACATTCAAAGAGGGCTTGGGCTTTCTGGGCAGGGACCTCGCTGTCCTTCCAGTTGCGCAGGTTGGGCCTGAGCTGTCCTGCTGGCCCGAGGGAGGCTGACTGCATCTGCAGCCCATTCTGAGCTGGTTTGTTGCAGTATGTGTGTGTGTGTGTGTGTGTGTGTGTGTGTGTGTGTGATTTCCTGCTGTCTGGGGGAGCTCAGAAGCAAGGGCAGGCCCAAGGGAGGTAGATTGGAGAATGGACATCAGGCTGTAACTCCAGGCTCTGTCTGGCCTGAGCTGTCTTTCTTTTTCAGTAGGACCTCCGTTTTTATTGCTGTGAAATGTGTGAGTTGTACCAGGCTCACGCTGAGAGATTTGGCAGAGCTCCTGTTTAGAGAAGGTGGTTCTCCTTGGCAGTTGTCAGTCATTACAGGGGCAGAGGATGGACACGTGAAGGTGGCCCCTGGTGATGGACTGACTGACTGGTGCCCTCAGGCTGTAGACCTCGATACGGGGACGCTTGGACCCTGCAGGCTTGCCCAGTCAAGGATGCAGCTTAATCCTTCCTCCCCCAGCAGCTGAGTATGGTCCAGGCTTCAGCAGAAGGTGCTACCTCTCACTCTGGCCCTGGAGCTGAGCCTCAGGATCAGCCACTTGAGGCCTTGAGCCAGATCAGAGACAGGCTTCACGGGTAGCCGCCCGGGAATGCCCCTGGGAGCCTACAGGCTGGCATCGGTCTTGATGGGCACCGGCCCTCGGTCTCTAAAGCTCTAAGCTAGATCTGCTGGAGGTGGGGAGCCAGAGCTCTGCCTTGGGGACTCCGGTGGGTACAGTGGAACCCAGGTGTCCTGAAGAATCAGCAGAAACGAAGCCTGTGTTGGGAAGCGGAAGGAGAAGGGTTGGAGGCCAGCAGTTACTGGGCTCTGGTGAGGAGGGAGGTGGACAGAGCCACCAAGTAGAGAACGGGCGTCGAAGCTGGTGGGGAGGAAGCCAGGGGGTGCCCAGGACAGGAGCCCCGAGACTCGGCCTTTTGTTTTGCAGCAAAGGTGATTTCGTGGACCCCTGCCTGGGGGACCTGATCTTAATTCTGAAGCTGCCCTCGTGGCTTAAAGGACTGCTGGCCTTCCTGCTGAAGCCTCTGGTAAGAACACACCAGTGCAAGGGGCTCGGGGAGCCTCTGGAGTCCCCATCCTGTGAGACCCCACGGTCCCTGGCTCTTCCCTGCCCCCCGCCCCCCGCCGCCTCTCCATTTGGACAGGCGTAGGCTCCTCTGCTCCCCACCCCTCGCCCCAACTGCTCTCCTCCTCGCCCCGTGCACCTCCATCACCCTGCTTGCCCAAAGGGGTGGTGTGGGTGGCCAGCTCGTGGCCCCACGCCGCGTCCCTGACCTCGTGTCTGTTACGGTGCAGTTCCCGCGGCTGGCAGCCTTTCTCAGCAGCATGAGGCCTCGGTGAGCATTCTTCCAGTGCCCAGATGCCCGCCCTGTCCTTGCCCTGTCTGCTCTGAGTCCAGGTGGTTTTGGACAGGGAAAGCCGCTTGGGGAATGGAAGTGGCCCAGGTGGGGGCCCTCAGGCGGGACCTCAAAGCTGTCCGAGTGGGGTCCGGGTGCTGCAGAGCAAGAAAACAAACAGGAGGGGGCGGGGCAGGGAGATGCTCAGTCTGGCTAGACTGGGAGGGAACACTGGGAATTTTCTTCCCGGGCTTGGTGGCGCCTGGGGATGCTGGACACTGGGTGACACATGAAATACGTCGAGAGTTCTGAACTGAGCTGACCCGAGCTGCACCGCTCTTACCGACCCTTCAGTGGCGCGAGCTGGAAAGGCAGGGCATGGGGCTCCTCATCACCCCGCGCCCAGTGCACTTGCTCCTGCTTTTACTGCAGGCGTTCGAGCCTTTGCCGGCCTCGGCCTCTGCTTGGTCCTGAGGGTAGTGAGGAGTCAGGCCTGGGTTAGTGCGGGTCTGCTCTGGAGTCACTGATGACCCAGCTTCAGCTGCTCTGAAGCCTGGTGTGTCTCCTCTGGCCTTTGAACTTTCATCTGGCTTGGAGCTTCTGCCCCTCAGAGATCCCTAGAATTGAGGGCGATGGCGGAGTGAGACCTAGAAGTATTGCGAAAGGGGTCTGATGTTGCTGAGCTCTGTGGCCATGGCCGTGGTGGCTGGTGACATTACTCCCTCTTCCCAGGTCAGCCAGAAAACTCTGGAAGCTGCAGCACAAGATTGAGGTGAGGCCTGAGCTCCTGCACTTGAGAAGGGCGTAGGGAGGGGAGCTGTTCAGGGCAGCTGCCAACAGGGTCTTCTGGCCAGTGCCCCTGCTGCCCTGCTGGAGCGGCCGCCCTTCCCCCTTGCCCTTGCCTGGACTGCAGATTGGACCCTGCTCTCTGATGCTCGTTTCCCCGGTGCTCACGGGGGTGCTGGGTTAGGATGGAGCTCCCGTGCTGGGTGCTTCTTGGCCCCTCTGGGGCTGTGTGTGGCCATGCAGAGTGTAGCTCCATTTTGACAGGGAGACCAGCATCTGCAGTTTGGGTGGGAGTGGAGCAGTGATCCCTGAGAAGCAGTGCTTCCCGCCCCACCAGAGGTCCGCCTTCTCCTCACCGCTCAGCTCAGCTGTAGCAGCAGGTGCTGGGGCCGGGGCCCGCCCGGCCACTGTCCCTGCCGTGCAGTCCTGGACGGGCCTGGTTGAGCGCCTCCTCTTCTCACTGGTGTCTGCTCAGGAGTACCGGCACTCTGTGATTGCCGAGTGGAGAGCACTGAAGCTGGATGTGCTGCTGACCCCGATGTTGGGCCCTGCCCTGGATCTGAACGCCCCAGGCAGGGCCACAGGTGAGGCCTGCTTTCCAGCCTACTCTAATCCTAGGGTCCCCTGCCCTTGGAGGCTCACAGTCTGGCTGGCTGGAGAGAGAGGAGGAGTCATGGGGAATACCCTGGTAGACAGTGAGACCCCTGTTCTAGGTACTATTGAAGTTAGAGGCCTCAAGTTACAGAGTGTGTAGTTTTGGGAGGTGGCATTTGGACCTAGGTGGGATTTAAATGATCTAAGAAAACAGGAACAACATTTCAGAAGCTGGGTGGGCAGAGGCCCAGGGCACGCATCAGGGGAACTTGCTGGGCTCCTGGGCTTTGTCCCTCACCTCAGCCCTGGGAGAGGGTCTTTCCCTGCTGGGGAAGCAGGTGCCATTTCACGGGGCGGGTGACTGAGGCCCAGCATGGACACTGACTGCTGTGGGCCCCAGAGCCTATTACAGCCTTTGTGTTGTGTTCCAGGGGCCATCAGCTACACTGTCCTTTACAACTGCCTGGATTTCCCTGCGGGAGTGGTGCCCGTCACCACGGTGACCCGTGAGGACGAGGCCCAGATGGAACATTACCGGGGCTACTTTGGGGATATCTGGGACAAGGTGCTGCAGAAGGTAAGGCCTGTCCATCCCCCAGCTCACCCCCTACCTGCCCACACCCTAGCTGGTGTCCTCAGCACTTGGCATCCTCAGCAGCGCTTGTGAAATCAGCATGGTGCCAGCTCCACTTGCCGCTGTCCTCCTCCCTCCCTGGACCCTGGGTACCCCCACTTGCAGTGACCATGTGTCTCCTACAGGCCCTGAAGAACAGCGTGGGGCTGCCTGTGGCCGTGCAGTGCGTGGCTCTGCCCTGGCAAGAAGAGCTGTGTCTGCGGTTCATGCGGGAGGTGGAGCGACTGATGACCCCTGAGAAGCAGCCATCCTGAGGGCCGCCTGCCACTTGGCTCCAAAGGACGTGACAGCACATGCCCTGTAGCCCAGCCCAACGGGGCACATGGAGGAACTGCTCAGCATGGGGCCGAGACCTCACATCCCCTTCCCTGAGCCCAGCCAAGGGTAGACTCCCCAAGTCTGGATCTTGCTCCCCTCTCTGTCTCCTTTCCACCCTGACCCCTCACCCTATGTGGTGGCCAGCAGGTATGACAGGGCCACGACCACCAACAGTCAAGACACATTTCCTTGCCTGTGGGCTGCTGGGCTGGACAGGCTGGCTTGACCTTCCAGAGCCAGGCGGCAGCCATGTCACTCTTCTGCTCCAAAATCCCCCTGGTGTCCATCACCCTCAGGAGGGACACGTGCTTGTGTCCCCAGCACTTCACTCCAGCTCTGCTATCTGGCTTTGCTGGGTACTGCCCTTGGTTCCCCCCTCTGCTTCTCTGCTGGGTGCCTTTCCTGCTCCTCCTCCACTCAGACTTTGGAGGCCCAGCCCGGACCCCTTTCTCTAGGAGGCTTTCTGTGCTGCTTCCGGGCCAGGAAGAGTGAGCTCCTTCCTCCCAGGCTCCCCGTGTGGGCATCTGTGATGGGTCTGTCTCCCTGGCCATTTCTCCTTGGTGGTGGGGACTGCATTGCTATGTCTTTGTGTTCTGTGGCCAGTACAGGGCCACAGGAGAGGTACCTGAGTTGGGCTGCAGGGAACCGAGGGGACACAGCTGGCCCTGAGCCGGTGCTGTTGGGTAGAGGAGCCCACAGGTGGGGGGGGGTGGCGGTCGGCAAGCGTGTGAAAAGGCAGGTGGAGCGTGTTCCCTCGCAAGGCCAGTTGAAGCCTGCCCTGCTCCGGGAAGGCTTGCGAGGGGAACTGGAGAACCAGAGAGTTCTCTCATGTGAGATAAAGGGAACAAGGGCGTCCCTGGGAGGAAACACCGCATATCCAAGACCAGGGTGAGCTTGAGTGAGCAGGGATGTTGAATGGGTACAGAGGCAGCAGAGGTGTAGGTGAGGCTGGATCAAGGTGAACTTGGGTGGCCAGGTCAGCAACTTGAATTCTGTCTCAAGGGCAATGGGGACTTGTGAAAGGTTGTCCAGGCTCAGTGAGGGGAGCAGACAGGATAAGAATGCTGCTGCTGCCTGTCTGGGGAGAAGGCTGGAGAGGCTGCCAGGGAATGGGTAGTTGGGACAGAGGCAAGCATCTCACCTCAGAGTCTCAGCCCTGCCTTCTGCCAGCTCATATCTTACAGGCCGAGTTGCCTGGCAGGGAAGGGTAGTTAGTTTTCAGGGGCAGAGGTTTCTTTTTTGTTTTGTTTTGTTTTGTTTTTTTGAGAGAGGGTCTCGCTATGCAGCTCAGGCTGGCCTTGAGCTCACTTTGTAGCCCAGGCTGGTCTGGAACTTGCAGTGATCCTCCTGCCTCAGCCTCCGAGTGCTGGGATTCCAGGCATGCGCCACCATGCCCAGCCAGATGGGGTTTCTTGACCACCCTCTGCAGCGTTCCCCACCTGCTGGCCCAGCCTAACTTCTCCTGTGGTCTAGAGATGTTTCAGAGCCGATCTATATTTCAGGGCAGGGCGGGTACTGGTTCACACCTGGCCTGTGTTACATTTTCTTCCACCAAATTTCCTTTCCAAGGCTTTCTTCTCCACCCTGAGTCCCGTGTTTCTCTGAAAGTGCTTTTCCTTCCCAGTTACTGCCCAGTGGTGTCCTTGTCCCCACCAAACTACCCGTCTCCGAGGGCCCGGCACCTTGGGGGCGGCTGACTCAAGCCCCCAACCCGCACTGGGACACCTCGGTTGAGATAGTAGGTTGTTGCCGCACTTGCCCTGGTTCCTCCTGACAACGTCCTCAAAACAGCTGCTGTAATGTCCGCTCCTTGTCCCATAAAACCATCTGCCACCTGCCCGGCTGCCTCCTCCTCCCGCCCATTTCTCTTTCGGTTACTGGTGGCCTCGTCCTTTCAGGCACAAGGCTGCAGAGTGGAGGTGCCCCTCCTTCATTCTTTTGCTGGTTCATTGACTTCAGCCCTCTGAGCCGCAGCCTGGCCGTGTCTGGCCCTGCGCTGAGTGGGGCTGGAGACCGGCGTGAGCCATGCCTGGCTGCCACCCCTCGGGGGACTGACATACACGCCTCCTCCCCAGTGATCAGGGTTCAAGGGTGATAAGGGAGGAGCCCCTTGCCGCTGAGGGAAGGGGAAGGAGGCACGGAAGCATGTGGCTGTCCACTGTGGCATGTCTTCGCCATCGGGCTTTTGTCTGGGCCACCCGCCTTTTGTCCAGGTAGTGCAGTCACTTCCTAACCCTCAGGCTCCGGGCTTCCTCCTTTGCCAGCCCCCTCCATTGTCCACACTGGAGCAAAGGTGCTCCTTCCGGAGTCAGCCAGGCTGAGCCACTCTTTGCTGAAGACGTGCCCGCTAGAGTAGAACCCAGTCTCCTTGTGGGACACGGCTCCTGTCCCCGTCTTCAGTCTCCTCTCGGAGGTCTCATTCCCTGTGCTCTGGCCGCACAAGCACCTTTGGTTTCTTAATCATCTGGAGCTGGTCTCTGCTTTAGGGTTTTTGTGTTAGTTCCTCTGTGTCACTTTTTTTTTTTTTTTTTTTTGTCTTTTTGAGACAGGGTCTCATTATGCAGTTCTGGCTGGCCTTGAGCTCACTTTGTAGCCCAGGCTGGTCGAACTGATGATCGTTCTGCCTCAGCCTCCTGAGAGCTGGGATTACAGGCGTGTGCCATCGCGCCCAGCAAGCTGTCACTTTCTAACGTGCTACCCTTTGTACTTTAAAAAAAAATAGCACTCTCACTCTAAAATCATTAATGTGTTTGTGCCTCTTCCACTAAAACAACCATACTTTTTCTTGTTTGTGACTGTATTCTTGGCATGAATGATATGCAGGCAGTTCTTAGTTACTCTGGGAAATTAAGTGAGCATCTACTTGGGGCCAGGCACTGTGGTAGGAGCTGGGACCGCGGTGATGGGTGACACGGGCTTGGTCCCTGTCCTTCTGGAGCTTATATTCTGGAGGATATTTCTAAGAATGGAGGCAGGTGGGTCTGTTAACAGACTCCTGAATATGTAATGCATGGAGAGATAAGGTGACTTGTGATGAGGTAAGGACGGGGAAGGGGTCTGAGTCACATTACTGAGGCACTGAGCCACCTACGTTCCGGGCACTTGGAGTCCTTGTAACATCTAACCATCCTGTTAACCTTTTCGTAGGTATTTTGCCCCCATTTTACAGAAAGGTTATGTGCCTGGCCTGAGGTTCCATGCTGGATGCAGCGCAGTGGAACTGAAAGCTGGGTCAACCTTTATCTGCTGTTGTCAGGGCCTTGTGACATGTCGGGCTCCTCTGGTGTCCCTGGGCGTGGAGGCGCGGCACGCACATCACCAGCGGGCAGAGAGCCACAGTAACTCTTCCTGATCGCCTGTCTTCTGGCCTCAAAGATGCCACAAGGCTGCCACCTGATCCCACAGCCTTCACCCTTGTCTCCATGTCCGCTGTCACAGCTCCTTGCCTGGCCTCGCCTGCTTCTGCTGTGGTTGTCTCTAAGTGTTCTTCGTGTGGCAGTGAGGCGACCTTTCTAAGTGCAAATGTGAATACACTTAATGTCTTTAGAATCATTTGTGCCAAGTGTGGACTCCTGGCTCCAGCCTCCAAGGCCACGCTTGGCTTTTGAGTGGTGCTGAGCACCCAGCGTGCCCCCCCGCCCCGCCCCTGCACTGGCTGTGCTGGGTGCTGTTACTCTTCGCCTTGTGCCTGCCTGCTCACCTCCGCCAGGGTGAGTGTTGCTCACCCACAACTCTGCTGGGCAGTGTTGAAAGCCTGCCTTGTGCTTCTGTCCATTCCTGAAGCAGAGGTGGTGTTGTAATTAAGAGCCAACATCTGTTAGAGTGTAGAGCTGATAACCCTGCTGTATCATTTGAAAATTGGGCATTACTATTTCCTTTTTATTTTTGCTACCAGGAATCAGTCTCAGGGCCTTGCACTTGCCAGGCAGGTGCTTGTGCCACTGAGCTCTATCCCCGGCTCCTACTATTTCCAATTTATATGTGAGGAAATGAAGTTCAGAGAGTTGCTGATTTGTTCAGGTCCAGTCAGTAAGGGGTTCAGAGAAGATTTGAAATGCACATGTCTCACTCCAAGCCGCACATACTTTCCTTACTTGTACAAGAACAAGCATGGAACACGCTGTAGGTACACCCCTGGGCCAGGCACACACACGGAAGCAACACCCGCCTGCTCGTGTGCACGTGTCACACGCTTCAGACACGGACACACAGTCACTTCATGATCTTCCCAGCAAGATCCGCCTTTGGCCCATGTTTGTGCAGCAGCTGGCCTTGGCTGGACCCCCAGGTTTCCACACACGGTTAGGAGTGGTGTTCCCAGCCTTCTTGGACAGGCGATGCCACTCGGGGCCGGGCTGTGCAGTTGGCCGTGTAAGCCCAGCACCCCACATGGAGCCTGGCTCTTAGTGGATACACAGTGGAGCCCCGCTGAGACAGGAGGAATGGGGGACTTGTTATCAGCCCATTTTGGCGCCTCCACATTACTTCATCTCATTCTCAGTAGGGAATTTCCCAGTCTGTCCCTGACCCTTGCCCCTTTTGCATTTATCTTATCTACTACCAAGTTTTTGATTAGTGCTCCTAAGGACAAAAATTATTAATGTATATTCAGCCTAGCGCTTTCTCCTGATCTGTAGGTCTTCATCCATTCACTTCTTTCATCCTCCTAACTACTCTTCCCCTCCCTTGTCCATCCAGTGACTATATTGGATTCCTCCCAACAGCATGTGCAGGGTAACCAATCAGAAATAGTCCCTGCTTGGCCCAGTGTGGTGGTGCATGCCTATTATCCTAGCATTCAAGAGGCTGAAGCAGAAAGATTGCTTCAAGTTCAAGCCTGAACTACATAGCAAGACCTTGTCTTTAAAAAAAAAAAAAAAAAGCTTTCATTCTATGAGCAAATGCGTAATTATACAAAAATGTGTTAGGATTGTGGTAGAGCAGAAGTCCTAAGTGTTACGGGAATAAACCAAGTGGGACTTGATCTGGCCTAGAATTTGTGTGTGGAGAGCATCAGGGCATGCTTCCTGGAGGAGGGAACATTTGAGAATGCATTATCAGCCGGGCGTGGTGGTACACGCCTGTAATCCCAGCACTTGGGGGGCTGAGGCAGGAGGATTGTTGCCAGTTTGAGACCAGCCTGGGCCAAAAAGTGAGCTCAAGGCCAGCCTGAACTGCATAGTGAGACCCTGTCTCCAAAAGACCAAAAGAAAAAAAAAAAGCATTATCATATGGGCCAAAAACTAGTGCATTTTAAGAACGGTCAGGCTGACAGCTTCAAACACTATGGATGTAACCAAGATCTGGGCATGGGCCAGACAAGATTGGGTGGGGGAGGAAGTGGAGGCAATGAATAAAATCAGGAAATGTGGAGAACTTGAGAACATGCCTCGATGGGGCAGTGGCTGTGGTGGATGTAGATCTGAGAATCCTTTCCTTTCCCCTAAGAGAGATCTGACTTGGCATGTCTGATGCTGCTAGAAGGAGCCAGCAGAGAGAGAGAGGGCACAGGTACAGGCAGGAATGAAGGGCTCCGTCACCACCATTCCTTCCTGAAGAACTATCACTGAGCACCTGCCATGTGCCAAGCACTTGCCAAAAGGCCCCGAAGATTCTTGTTTTTGTGAAACATTTTCTAAGGTGGGAAACGGGAAATAAGTACACACTTTCCCCTATAAGTGTGGTGAAGACCTCCAATGGCGTGATACAGTTTGTTTTTTTTGAGACAGGGTCTTGCTTTGTAGTTCAGGTTGGCCCTGAACTCACTATGTAGCCCAGGCTGGCCTTAAACTCACAGCAGTCATCCTGCCTCAGCCTCCCAAGTACTAGGGTTACAGGTGTGCACCACCACGCCCAGCTCAATGTGGTAATATGGTAATGGGGCAGCAACCCAAGCAAAGGTGAGACGTCAGGCTCTGGGTGTCATGGGGTGTGGTGCAGGTGCCACATGGCCTGGGAAGCTGAGGGTGTCAGCACAGCCAGCGTTCAGCGTGCTCACTTCCACATGCCCACAGTTTCCGTTCGCCTGCTGCAAAGGAAATCCACCGCGGGGTCCTACTATGGTCTCCCCTGGGTGGGTGCAGAATAGGCACTGAGATCCCTGTGTGCTCCCTCAGGTGCCCCTTGCTTGCTTTCCACCCTGGGCCCCAAATTCCCCCCTGGGACATCCACTCTGGGGAAACAAGTCCTGTTCAGCCACCTCCCTGGGTCTGTCTGTTTAGGTGGAGCATAAAGGGTTGGTGATTATCCTGAAAGCAACAGGAAACTGTAGGCAACCCCATCTGGAATTCTTGAGGGTCAAACTA